CCCCCATGCTCATCACTCCCCTGTCCCCCGCGGGCAGGCATTGTTTTCATCGACGAGATCGACAAGCTTTGCGGCTCCTCCAGCGACCACCCGAGCACGTCCGTGACCACGGGCGGGAGCAGCAGCAGCAACAAAGGCGAGGGTGTCCAGCGCGAGCTCCTCACCCTCGTGGAAGGATGCGCTGTCCCCACACGCTACGGCTCGATTCGAACCGACTTTATCCTCTTCATCGCCTCGGGGGCCTTCCACAATAAGAGCCCCTCCGACCTCCTCCCCGAGCTTCAAGGCCGTTTTCCTGTCCGGGTGACGCTTCAGCCATTGAAGAAGGAGGATTTGATTCAAATTTTGAGCACCAAGAAGTTCAACCTACTGGTCCAAACCGTCCAGCTACTCGCGACGGAAGGGGTGGAGGTGGAGTTCACGGACTGCGGCGTCGAGGCCATGGCTGCTTTCGCCCAGCTGATCAATAGGACACAGCAAGACGTCGGGGCCCGGCGCTTGAACACTGTGATGCATCGGGTGCTGGAAGACCTGAGCTACGCCGCGCCAAGAAGGAGAGGGCAGAAAGTGGTGGTGGACGCGACCTTTGTGGAGAATCGCTTGAAGGAGTTTGATTTAACCAAACAAGATAACTTGAGCCGGTATATTCTGTGAGAGAACAGATAGAAGAGCAGTGTGAGAGGACCAGGATGCCTCCAGGCATGGCAGAGGCCTGAAAGAACACAATAGCGTGCGAGAAAGAGCGCAAGTTTTGGTGTTGATCGTCGTAGAGAATACGATCATGAGAATTTATATGTTTACCTTTATGTAGCAAGTTAAGGGTTTTCCGGTGCCATATTTTTATTTGTTAAGAGGCTCGTCCTTTGATCCATTGCTTCCAGGCATGGGCCGTTGTCGCCTGAAGAGCAAAAGAACTTTTCTCAAGAGCTGAAAGGACAACCAATGCAGGTGTGAACACACGGTACCGTGGAAATGAGACAGAAGATCAAAGATGACTGCATAAAACCTAGGTCAGCCAAAATATCGGATTCATCCGAGCCGATAAATGCAACATGGATTGGCTCGACAGCCAATTCTTCATGGGGGAGGTTACCGTGTTGCAAGCCGCAGCTAGCAGAACCTGCGGATTTTCACACCACTCCCACAGCCTTGTGCCTTATGCACCATGTTAACACTGCGCCTCATTCCTAACACTCTTAGTCACAGATCTGTTCGTGCGATCACGAGTGGTACACCGCATGGCCGCGAGACCCGCATGCTAAACCTCCCGCCGCCCTGAGTTCTGCAGCGTTGTGACCCGATCCTGTTTTCCCACGGCCATGCCTAATTTCAACATGGTACGCGAGCCTACGGATGGCATTTCAACTAGGCATGGGATGGCTTTGCTGTTTTTATTGACGACGGCCGTAGCTGCTGCGGGCGGCGCGGGAGTCGTCCTGCTTCTACAGCAGCGAGGGGCCCTTTCCTCCCCCCATCCCCTCCCTCCCCCTTCACCGCACAAAAAAGATCGAGGGAAAAAGCACCATACGCCCGTGGGAAGTCCAAGCAAAAGCAATATGGTGAGCGATCCCGTGGAAGGGAAGGAAGACATTTTCCCCCCCTTACCACCCACAGTGGTGGCTTTGTTACAGTCCACCCGGGTCTGCCATTTGAGCACTGCCAGCACGGATGGTCTCCCTCATTTGTCCTTGATGCGCTTCACCTACCGGAGGGAGGAAGAAGTGATAATCATGACGACGCGCACGGACACGAAGAAGTACGAATTGTTGTGTTCCATGCCCAAAGTGGCGGTCTTAGTCCACGATTTCCCCTCCCTTCGGGACGAGGAGGACAAGGAGGAGGAAGAAAAGGAGGAGGAGGAGAAGGAAGGAAGAAGTGACATAGGGGATAGAGCTGGGGGAGAGTCGGCAAAATTCCGAGGGAATGCTTTTTGTGGGCATGGAAAGGGTGAGAAGGGAGGAGGAGTGGGAGGGAACGAGGACGGAGGAGAAGGAGGAAGCAAGAGGCCACATCGACATGAAAAGGAGGATGGAAAGGGCGGCGGAGGCAAAGGGAAAGAAGGCGGTGACGGAGACGGACACACCTACGCGATCACCCTGAACGGCGTAGCCCGAATGGAGACAGGGGAGGAAGCGGAACGTTACCGATCGTTACATTTGAAAAATAACGTCGCCTACTCGCAGTTCATCGAGGGCCCCGGCATAGCAGTCTTTACGGTGCACGTAATGAGCGCCCGGATTTGCAACGTGAAGGACCGGGTGACCTACTGGGATAAGCGCACGGCGACGGTAGAGGAAGGGGTTAGGAGGGAGGAGAAGGGGGAGGGGAGAGGAAAGAGACAAGAGGAGTGAAGTCGGAATACACGGAAGGAAAGGAGTGTGCGATAAAGAAAATGAAAGGAAAATGGAAAGCGAAGGCAGTTTAGCATTCCTGGAGATCCTATACGATCGTGAAGGCCGCCGATTCCTCGGTTCCTTTCCTTCCGGTTCAAAATTTTGAATTTCCGTTCCTCTCCATGTGCTCCACGAGCAGGTCAACAGCTCGGCCTACCCCGTCTTCGGCAAGAAACCACTCGCGGTACTGCGCAACGTTCTCCAGGCACATTGCCCGACCTCGTT